GTATAATTCATATTATGAATGGTTAATATCACTCATAAATTATTTTTTTTTTTAACTCAAAAAGTGATTGCAAATTTTTTATTTCGCTATATTTATATTCCTAAGAATTTACAATAAATCACCAAACCAATATTTTTCAGCAGGTCTTCGTCTTTTAGTTCCAAATATTTCCTCCGAAACTTTAGCAACTCTTAATAATGTTGCTTCATCATACCATTTTGCCATAAATTGTAATCCAATTGGAAAATTTTTATCATTATAACCTGCTGGTACAGTAACGGCAGGAATACCAATAAAATTTGCTAAATGTGTAAATCTTGTTCCATATGATGTAACAGAAAGATTAATTTCACCAGATTCTAAAGCTCCCGGATAGATTGGAGGAGCAGTTATGGCGCAAGTAGGTGTTAAAATAAGATTAACATCAGAGAATAAGACTGATAAATTACGCATCATACGCGTACGAATTTGTTGAGCTTTAATATAATCCGAAGCATTCGCATTACTGTATGTCGCGATGCCTACTCTATTAGGGAAACTCAACAAATGCAAGTATTTTTGGTATCCATTCACAGAGGAGCAGAATTCGGATAAAGCAGTAATTGAATGAGCTATTTGTGCTTCATTTAATTCCGGAATATCAATTTCAATAAACTCGGCACCGCGAAGTTTAAATTCATCAATGAATGCATTGAGAGAAGAAGTAATAGCAGGATCGATGACTTGTCTATTCCAATCAGAGAATACACCAATTTTTAGATCAGACAATGTTTTAGTAAGGTAAAGATCATGGAGAGTGGGTGACGGCTGGTGCAAAGTTTTTGGATCCTAATATAAAAAGTTAAAATACAAATGCAAAAGTTAAAAAAAAATATAATTTATGAGTGATATTAACCTTTCATAATATGAATTATACTTGTAACTGTTATAAAATGCTGTCTCATGACAAATACATGTGTCCAGTGTAGATTTTTAACGTCATTTTTTTCGTTACCTTATAAATAAATGTCACTAGTTAAACCGTTATCCTGGATTTGGATTAGAGTTATTCCACGTTTCTATACGATCGCATGATGTGGTTTTTTCGACTTATAATCACTAATCAGTAAAAAAAAAAAAAAAAAAACCAATTCTGAAGTAATGGTTATTTCCCCGGAATTGATTTTTATTTCCCCGTTATTTCTTGTTATTTCCCGGGTGCACTTTAAATTTTTATATATTTGAAAATAATTCTTTTAGTTTGCATTGTGATTTTGTTTTTGGAAAAGTTTTAAAATCATTTAGCCGTTACAATAGTGTTACTTAAATGAAGGTCTTAAAATTCTCTTAGTCTGATAGAACATGATAGTTATTT